AAAACAGCTTTGAAACTTGTCCCCTTTTCTCTTGTTTTTTCTCTGCTAATGTGAGACTCTACAAATTACTTTTGATGGGCATAAATGTTGTTGAGGAAGCAGAATCTATTAGCAAAAATCAGGAGAACTTAGTGAGCAAGTGAAAGAATGAACAAACAAATGAATGAACGAACAAACAAACAAATAGATGAATATTGTGCGGGGAAAAATAACCATAGAAAACTGCAAATATTACTTGAGATCTGACTTGTCATAGAATTTGATTTGCACTGAAGCATGTTTCTATTTATCAAATGTCATATTTATTTCAAATGATTTTTGAGGTCCAGTACTTTTCATTTTATTTCCTTTTTCTTAGCCTGTATCTTTATTTCAATGTATTATAAAGTAATTGGCAGTTCCTATGCTCAGGGGAATCTTTTTGTCATTTTTTTTGTCATTTTTAAAATGTTTTATTAAAAAAATAGGATGGAAACCTCTGGATAATTATGAATAAATGTTCTTACAGCCTGTTGGTTCAACGGGAAAAAAAAACTATTTTCTGGAACATATCCCACATTTATTTTCCCTAATAACACTAAATGTTAATATCTGAAATTCAATTTACACATTCTCACTAAAGCATAGAATTATTACTTCTTAACAATCAAATATAACTCCCAGATGTTCTTGAAGCTGACCATAAATGCTTGCATATAAGTTTAAATGTGGATAAGCTGACATCAAATCTTTAACCAAGAAAAATATGCCACCCACAGATAAGCCAACCCTCAAAAATACCTTGTGTTTTAATTTTTGTACCTGGACTCTCCATGGCTCATCCATTTTTCATAGCATTTTTATTAAAAATTCAAGAGTCAGCTTATCTGTGGATAGGCTTTTTATGCATGTGTGTATGGGATATATAGGACTTTTTAAAAGGACTACCATATCTACTCATTGATACATCCATCTGTAGATAGGCTGAACTCAATATTTTGGGTGCATTTTAGCACATTCACAAGTATATACTGTATAGTTCTGAGCGACCCATTTCCCCGCATGGCGTACATTGCAGGTATAATGTCATTGCCTACAGATTACAGCCCTACCTGGAAGTCCTTTGGATTGTCACCCATACTTTTTGTTCACTTTACGTGTGGGTTTTTGAAATGCATACTATATAAAGCTGCTCTTAAAAACCACTTGGAAGGTGGAGATGGTCTATATTGCAGCAATAAGGGCAGTTAATATTTCAGTTGAACATCTATTCACATATAGCACCATGTATTATTTAGAATTGAATATTATTTAGAATAGAATAACAGAGTTGGAAGGGACCTTGGAGGTCTTCTAATCCAACCCCCTGCTTAGACAGGAAACCCTATATAATTTCATCTCCCTACACCTTATTTCCAATTACTTCCAAGAGATCTACAGTAAGTTAGCAAAGATATATTTTCAGGAGTGCAAATGAAAGATGGACTGAGATTCATTTAATCATTAACAAATCAAACTGTAATTAAAATAGAGTAAAATTTTGCACTCAACTTTTTTCAACTGAGCAGAGTGAAATAATCAGCTTCTTTGAAACCTTCTGCATTTCTTATCCTCTTCTCAGGATGTAGGCAGGGACATAATAGATGCCTTTGGTTGACAGCTATGTGGATAGAGACCTGAACCCAGAATGAACAAAACAGGACACAAAGTTTATGCAAATCTCTTCCCTTTTCTTCATTTTTCTGCAATTGTGAAGGGGCTTCATTGTTGAGTGTCTGAAGAGTGAATTGCTTCCAACACATTAGGCCTTTCAATCTATAAATGGTTCATCAAATAGGAAGTTATCATCAAGTATTTCTTCCGTCAGTTGCTGGTAGTAGATCTTCATTCAGACATACTGATGAAGTGGATTCTTCCAAAAGGCAGACTAATTAGACCCTTGTCTTATGGCAGATGGCAGTATGTCACAATGGAAAAAAAAAATCTTCAAACAGCTCTAATCCTGGTAAATGTCTTTTGCAAATGAGAGCCAAAGTGACTTGGGATATGATTCGGGATCCACTGCTCCCCAATCTCATTCTGAAGTGTTTGATGGCAATTTATTTTTCCTTTGTATCAAATGTAAATTGGCATTAAAAAAGCATGGACTTTTTATGTGCCTTTGCTGTATTTCTCCCTCTCTGTTGCGGGATGTCTGAAGTGGAACACAAGTGTCTCCCCATGGAGACATGCGCAAGCCATCTGCACATCTGGAGCTCATGTTTCTTATACCGTGGGGAAAATGCAGTTCTGCTTCAGTGATACATGAAATGGAAAAGATTTGTACTACTTTTAAGAAGAACCTAAACTATTTGTCCTGAACTTCTAATCTAAAGTTGTTTTAAAATGAAATCAAATAAGTCCCTAAATTATATTTCTAATTCCTCTTGGTCATAATGTTTACTGATTAGAAATTTATCTCTACCAACATATAAAATATTAAATATATATAAAATAGTGTAAATATTTAATCTGTATAGAACTAAAACTAAATGTGTTTATCTGTCTTTTGTATCCTCAAGTTAGCCCAAATAGTACATTTTACCACAATATTGAATCAAAATACCTAAAATCTGCCTAGTTAAAGAATAGGCTAAAAACATCCAGGACCCATTGTTTCTATGAAATTCAATGTTTAGAACAGTTTTATATTTAAAATTATGGCTATGGAAGCATCCCTATGACCACATGACCATGATTTGAGATGCTTCCTGCCAGCTTCTCACCAATAAATTCAATGGGGAAGCTAGGAGGAAGTTGTAAACCAGTCCTGCATCCACTGCTTTTTTGCCTGCCCTTGGTCTTTCCATGGATGCTTAGGTAATTGAATAGTGGCTTATTACTGAAGTTCATTTGCCATGATAGCTATTTTTCTATTTATAATATTTATAAATAGCAAATTAGAACTGAGGAGAAATTTCCTGACANAAAAAAAATGCAGTAGAAAGTCTGAACAATACTGTGTGACTAATTCTGTATTTTTAGAAAAATATTGTAATTTTAGTAGCTGCAAAAAAGTTGATATGGATCATTTTTAAACAATGTCTTCTCCACAGAAACATGGAAGTTGTGCATTCATTTTACAACATAATAAAGACTGTTATCATTTATAATTACAGAATTACAATTTTAACATAAAAGATTATAATATGAATTTTAAATCTATTTTGTTTCAGAGTTTATGGAGCCACATGCTTTACATGAATTAAAAGTTCACAGATCAAATATGTCAGTATTTTTTTTCTGGCCACAATTGCATAGATGTCAAGTTGATATAGAGTATTGGGAATGAAATCCACTTCTTGATTAATTGAAAGATCAGTGAAACAGTTTAGAATATTGTCTATCTTGGAAATAACCATAAAGGTTGTGATCCAAAGCTATCTGGGAAGTGACTCTACAAGGACCTATTTTCCTGTTCATTTAATCATAGTTTTGCTGGTCATTTATCATTGTATCATAGGAATAATTGCAAAATGCAAGTATGTTATAAAGTTTTTTTTTCCAAGAGGACTTCCTTTGTTTTACTTTGAAGATGTTTCACTTCTAATCCAAGAAGCTTCTTCAAAACTGAACATCTTCTCAGATGAAAAGCAAAATGTCCCCCAGAAAAATCAAAGAAAATCCAATTGATTCTTTAAAAAAGCATCTTTGGGACAACCATGACCTAGATGACCAAGAATCTCCATAGACATGAAAGCATATGGCTAATGTGCTTAGCACCCAAATATTTGCTAATATTATTTTCATATTCTGAAACATCTGAAATCCACTAACAATAACCATTGTCTAGTATATTATTGCAAATTAGGAGTCTAGCATTTTTAATCTGAGACAGATGTTTCTATGAAGGCCTGGAGAATCATTGCAAGCCAGAGTACTGTATTAAACAGATTAGTGGGCAGAAGTGAGTCAGAGACTCACTGATTCACAGGGAGCTTCAAACTGCGCAAAGCAGAACTAGCCAATGTTGTAATCTCATAAAATGTATTTATCTTGTGAGATTTTACGTATTTTAAATGGTGTTATTGCTGGGTTTATTTTTGGCAGCTATGTTACCATAAAACATAGCTTTTGCGTAGCACCTGAAAAAAGTCACCCATGTAGTTGAACATCTTAAAACATTTAGAGAACTTTCCTCAAGTTAACAGAAATACGACTTTACTTAAAACCTCTGGCTAAATGCATGGAGATTGTGGATCAAACAGCAGCCAGCAAGGTATATGTGTATCTGGTTTTCATCCAGTTTAAAGCTATAGATATAGATAGATAGATAGATAGATAGATAGATAGATAGATAGATAGATAGNAAACAGCAACCAATCACATTTTACAGTATGATTTAAAGAAACAGGTCATTGTTACATGATTTATATATTGCCAGCCCAACCGTTAGATTATATTCCTAACACAAATGTTTGCTCTTTTTAAAAAAAAAAATGTGTGCAACAGAGGAGAGAATTTTTTTGTAAGTTACTAGATATGGACCTATTTAATTGCCAATTTTTATTACTTTGCCACAAGGATATATCCTTAAAAATATTACCATTATAGGACAAGGTAATTAAAGTGTACATTTGATAGTTTTTGAGGTATGCATCAGGGAAATAATATGTGATGCTTTGTTTGTATTTTTATTTGATTCTGATTCATGATTGTAATAAAGTTTGAAATGAGAAAAAACTTCCTTATACACTTTGAGCTCCAGAGAAAAATTAGACTAAAAACAAAATAACAGATGGTTTCAATGATTATTACTGGCCTAATGGAGACACCAGTTTTCTATTCACTACTAATCTATTGCCTTTATTTCTTTCTCAGTTAACATTTTCAGATTTGAGTGGAAGTGAGTGATATGCATTTTTCAGGAATTTATGTATGGTTCAGCTACAATGTCAATGTAATGTTGTTGCTCACTTCACCATGCTTTTGCTTAAACTGATTCTTCTTTTCGTTTTCTCTTCTTATTTTTACCACTAAAGGCGCTGGTGGTTGGACTCCACTTATATCAAATAAGTACCAATGGCTCCAGATCGATCTTGGTGAAAGGACTGAAATTACTGCTGTTGCTACACAAGGTGGATATGGGAGTTCAAACTGGGTAACCAGTTACCTCCTAATGTTTAGTGATAGTGGAAGGAACTGGAAGCCGTATCGTCAGGAGGAAAGCATTTGGGTATGTTTATTTAATGGTCATTTTTTCAGTTAATCAGAATTACTATTGGGTGCATTCCTGTAATATATTTGATTAGGAAAGAATCCAGTGCAGTCAGTTTTAAGTGTAGACACAAATTAGACACAAATATAGACATTTTTAAACACGAACAAACATTACATAGAATTTGATGCATGTGACATGCTTTAGTAATGGAAGTCATGATGGTTATTAGTGTGGGGGTGTCAAACTGGCGGCTTACTGGCTGGATGTGTCACATGCAACCCACGCCCATCCCAGCTCCACAAAGGCAAAAAAAAAGCCACATTGTAACATGTTATGATACCTCACAGTGTGATCGAGTTTGAAAACCTTGTACTAGTGAAACAGAGATTATAGAACATAAGGGTAATAATATAGACATTTTATAAAAATAAAGAGGAAAAGCCTCATTTTTCTTTGAATCCAAATTGTTATCAATATTTACAATATCACTCTAATTCTAAATATTGGGATCCTTAACGTACCTAGATATTTTTCTCTGCTATATGGAGTACTATCCATTTTAGTAGTTTGTTTAAATCTGTGTTTGGTCACCATATATTTTGAAATGCCTTGTTGCAGTAGAAATTCTACCATATCATTTGAGAGATATTGTGTGTGTTTGTTTTTCTGCTTGCTCTTTTTAGGAACCTTCCGATTACTTCCCACATTGACTTTGTTGTAACAGTTAATTGTCTATGTGAAAGTTGGAAACTTTTAAATAGTCTGGGTTGAATCCATACACAACTGGATTTATCACAACTATCTTGCCCCATTAGTTTTAAATGACAATATCTGAATTCACTGCAATGTATTAGTAAATAATTTCATTTTTTAAAAATAATATCTGTAAAGTTCAATGACTGAATAATGTAGCTTAACAATTTACTACTGTGATATTTTTCAATTAGCTTCATTTGGAATTCTGAACAAAATACATCAGGCCTGAGGCCTAGAATAAGCTAACCATTTCTTCTATAAGCTATTGTGTGTAATTAATAGCTGATAATGTAACATCTAAACCCCTTAAAGATGTATACATTCACTCACTGAATGGAACAATTTATAATTGAATGTTATTATTATATAATTTAAGGAATGAAATTACAACCAATTTTCAGAAGAAGCATCAATAATATCCCTTTGTTATTTGGATAATGGATCCAAATTGTTAAAAGAATTACTGCATAAAACAGCAAATTAAAGTTATTACAATAAAAACTTAAATGCAACTAAATGGTATTGCAAAAATAGAAGAACATGAATGGTTAGAAAAGGATTAGCAAATCAATTATTTTAATCTCTTTTCACGGCCAAAACAGGATACCTGTAGATAAGAGAGACATTGTCAAATTTTTTAATATATTTTTATTGGTAAGATACATCTACAACTGTTGGCTGTTTTCTTCTGTATGTATAGTTTCTCCCCAGTGAAACATTGGGGATAATGAAGGCAATGAAGCTGCTTCTGATATCAGTTCCAAAAGCTATATATGTAGTCATTTTTCATTAATCTCTTCTTCTGTCTGCAGCCACCAAAAGCACTTTAGCAAGAATGGGGGGGGGGGAGCAAATGTCATCCTGAGCTTCCTTCAACAGGAGTTTTCACTAAAGATGAGGCTTGCCACAAACTCAAACACTTTATTAACAGATGACCCAAACCAGCATCAATGCATTAATGACATGCATTAATTAATAATTATGCGTTAATAACAAATACCAACTACTTCTTAAACACTTTGCAGAGAACTTGTAGCTGATAGTTAAAAGTGATCTGAGATTATTTAAACCAATCCCTTTCCTTAATGTAGGAATCTGTTAAACTATCATATCCAGAGTCCATTTTAAAATCCTTAGTAAGAAGGCGACATCATTTTAATATTCTCCTTCTAATTTCAAGCTGTCTTGCCCCTTGTTTCAACAGAGCACAGAATTACTCCCTTTTGTGTGTGATTATCTTTAGATGTTCTTAGATTGTGACATAGAGAAATTTGTAATTGGGGCAGGATCATTTCTACATATTATTGATGTCTGAACAAGGTGAATGCATGATTGTGTGAACTTGTTTTTTTATTGGTTGCTATCATATAGGAAAAGGAGCTTAAAATACCTATGTGAATCAGATTGTGCAAGTAACTAAAAGGAGTACTTTGACATTTTCTGTATGACACAGCATGGGTTATAAAGAAGGTAATTTATATTCATCTGGGCATTATTAACATAAAATTATTATTCTTCATGAGGACTTTATTAAAAAAAGAAATATTTGTAGCCTATGTTGGATTAAACTTTCTAATAAATTCTAGGCTTCGCTATCTTTTGTTAATCGATTTTCTGAGATACTCAGAGACAAAAAATAAACAACTCTAAGTGCATATTTGATTGTTTTTATTAATATAAATCCCAATGTCAATATATAATTTCTGCTTTAGTATGTTTCACTAACTTCAATGGGACCATTTAAAACAGTTTTGTTTTGTTAATCATTCCTAGACTGGATTCACTATCATCTAAACTGTCTGCAGCAATAAATGTCCCCTGAAGTATTATTAACAAAAATGGGAAATAATTTGCCGGTATACAATTTTTGGAAATGTTCTTTGTAACTTAAAATTTTAGAACACTTTTGACTATGCTACAATTTTCTGATGAAGCAGCTGTGATTACTGAAAAAATACATATATTCAAGGAAACCACTTGGCCTTTCTAAAGATAATTGCTTTTATATTTGATTAAATTCAGATCAAATCAATTGCATATATTATCTCAATTTCTTTCAAGTGGCATTGGCTTAAAAGGTGAGATTAATATCCCTTGGAATTCAAGGCACTGTGATATTAACAGTTATGGTCTGATAGCACCTTGAGAGTTTCAGAATGGGAGAAACATTTCTTGATTTTCTTGGGTTGACCACTAATCTATGAGTAGTTGTACTCATACTTCTTGGTAGCAAGCCCTATTCTGAAACTTTGTATAAGGCATACCAGTGGTAGGATTCAAAATTTCTTACTACCGGTTCTGTGGGCCTGGCTTGGTGGGTTTGGCTTGGTGGGTGTGGCAGGGGAAGGATACTATAAAATCTCCAGTCCCACCCCACTTCAGGAAGATACTGTAAAAAAGTCAGACTAGATGAGGCACGTCGTTGTCCTGCCGCCTCCTGTAGAGNTTTTTGCCTGCCCTTGGTCTTTCCATGGATGCTTAGGTAATTGAATAGTGGCTTATTACTGAAGTTCATTTGCCATGATAGCTATTTTTCTATTTATAATATTTATAAATAGCAAATTAGAACTGAGGAGAAATTTCCTGACAATTAGAACAATTAATCAGTGGAAAAGCTTGCCTCCAGAAGTTGTGAATGCCCCAACACTGGTAGTCCTTAAGAAGATGTTGGATAGCCAGTTGTCTGAAATGGTATAGGGTTTCCTGCCTAGGCAGGGTGTTGGACTAGAAGACCTCCAAGGTCCCTTCCAATTCTGCTATTGTATATTTGTATTTGAGGGCAAAACCTCATCAGAGCACACATTCCAATTAATTGCCCTGTGTGTATGCAAAATGAAGAATAGCAGGCAGATCAGACTGACCCCCTTTTTCCCAGTAAGTGGGGGAAATCACTTTTGATGGGGGGAAAAAAACCTTGGATAGAGAATGTTTTTCCAGGAGAGTGGTAAGTGGAATGAGGACATTATCCATTCCTGCTCCGTTGAAGTGTTACATAGCCTCTCTCCCTGCTGAGTGAAGCAGACCATATGGATTAGTCCTTATTCTACGCCATCCACTATTGCTTCATTCTGACAAAATATTGCATCATTCCACAAATTAAAATGATCTCTGACAGATCCCTTTGAGTAGGGATTTTCTTGAGCATTTTTAAATTTTCATTGCATTGCTTTAATGTGCAAAAGAGTAAAAAGGAAAGAAAAACAAAGACAAGGGGTATTACTTAAATCATAATCCTTTAGCATGATTTTTAAACATGTACCGGTAATTAAACTTTGGCAACAGAGAACAATACTGATCCATATTTCCTGGTGTATTGGAAAAGCCCTTAAGACTTAGCTTTGTTCTATTTGTAATGGTCTTTCTTTTATCATAACTGAAATTGTTTAAAAACTGATTTGATTTTACCATGGTTTTTCCTTATTATTAGGCTTCTTATTTGAGACCACAATAGCATGCCTTCCTATAAGTAGGAAGTAAGCATCTCTCTAATGTGTCTAATAACAGACTGGGATGAATAAATGCTTTGAAAGGATGAAAAAGCAAGCAAGAATCATTGGTCTGATGCTGCTACAAGATGCTCCTGTTGGATACTTAGTGTGTTGAGTAGGTGTCAGAAGAGTTGCCATATTGCTAGCTCCCTGGGTGTTTGACTTTTATATGCTGTAATTTAGGAAGTCAATTATATTTGACATTTGAGCCAATGCTGCCAAGTTTTGGCCATGCCAGCAAAGGGAAACTGAAAGTATCTGATGGTGAAGCATCAGGGAGATATAATTGCGGAGGGGGGCATAGAGTTGACCTTCTAGGGCAGGGATTCCCAACCTTTTCTATATTCCTTACCCCTAGAATGCTTATATATTCTTGCACCCCTTACAAAAGTAAATGATTATATGCATATAATTATGCATATACACTATAATTTTGAAACTTCTAAACCAAAGTTTTTTTACCCTCTCTTGGGAACCCCTGCATTAGAGGAATCCAAATACTTTTTCTCCATCCATAAACAGAGAAGAATATGTGCATGTATGTTAGACCTAAAAAGATGAAATAGACAGTGCTGATGGCAAAAGAGCTCCATCATCCCTTTAATTGGCACAAAGAAGATGGAATTTTCCCTGGTTGGGAACCACTGTTCTAGGGGAAGAGAAACATCTTGTAGAAAGTCACTTTTTACATCTTGGTATCATTTCTGGAATGCTAGTGGCAGAAGTTGATGAATTATCTGATTAATATCGGTATGAGCCTAAACTGTGGTGATCAGGGTAGCAAAGTGAACTAATTTCTTCCTTAGGAGCTGGAAACAGGCAGATCTTCTACCTGCTGCTGTGACCAATTAGCATTACATTTTGCTGATAAGATTGCTCAAATTTATCAAAGTTTTGGTTTTTCATGGGCTGGTCCATTGTGATACTTGGTGCAATGTAATAGGGGCCCTAAAAACAGACACATGCTTTGTGCTTGTGGTTAAAATGCAGTACTGCAGACTCAAACCTTTCCTCCTTCTGAGGTTGGTAAAATGAGGAACCAGATTGTTGGGGGCAATATGCTGACTCTGTAAACTTCTTAGAGAAGACTGTAAAGCACTGTGAAATGGTATGCAGGCCTAAGTGTTATTACTACTGCTATTGATCCCTTTGGCTCCTTAAAAGGGCTGGTGAGAGCATGATAGACTGGATACACAAAGTGATCAGTGTTTTTCTTGGAAGAGAGCAGTGTTGGAACCTTGGACCCATATGGTTTTAAAAACTATCACATTGTTGTAAGGAATTTCATACGAACTTAGTATTTGGTTATGGAGATTCTCAGTCATCCAGGTCATGGTTGAACCAAAGGTGCTTTTTCAAAAGGCAATGGGACTTTGTTTGCAAAAAAAAAAAAAGCACTTTTGGGACTTCATATTTGGGCTTTCCAGATTTTAATAGAGTAATAGTGAGATTTTATGTATATGTTT